GCAGGTGCCACGACAGTGAGTCCACGGGTGTTCCGAGGGTGTCGGAGACAACCAGGCCGCTCCGCCGGCAGCCTTGCCCAGAGGCGCGGATTGTCGGTCCTGAGGACAGTGTGGCCCTTACGATCCAGCTGCCCGAAGGCCAACTCCTGCTGCCTCGCGGGCTGCGTCTCCCCGTGCGTTTCCTAATTCTGCCGTGTCTTCTAGTGACTTGGACCCGGTCTGTGCCCTGGAGACCTGCCTGGACCCTGAGCCCCGCATGTGTTCAGGCTGCTCTTCCCGGGATGATGAAAACCCGTAGGTATCAGATGTCTAGCTGTGAACTCCTGAGACCGCCCGCATCCGGGTGGCCCCTACTGGAACCTCGAGGTGATAACTTAGCATCAGTAAGCCTCCCGACTGAGTGAGTGTTTCTGTGGATGTGGAGACAGCGGGTCTCAGCTCAGCACCATCCTAAGGAGCCCCCTTAACCAGAGACCACGTCTCCCCAGAGGAAAGGGCAGGTGCAGACACGTCCCTCCCCCGCAGGCGCACACAGATGACTGGTCACTGCAGGTAAAAGTCATCAGTTGGCCGTTCCAAGTGGAAAGGCTCCCCTGACCTTGCGGGTGGCGCAGTGAGGACGCTGGAGCCTGCTAAAGGCCCCTGGGGGGGGCCTCCCACTGGTCCCACCTTCCCCTGGAGGAAAAGTGCTGGCTGGTCTAGAAACTGTCGCCTCTGGTGGCTGCTCGGGGCAAACACCAGAGCCGCTCCTCTGTGCCTAGCAGCCACCCTGCACACAGCAGGCTGCTTTTCTGGGCTCTGCTAAAACAATTCTCCGCCCTGTGCCTCCCCCACTTCTGCCCGCTCCTCCTGGGCTGGAGATGACGATGACAGTGCTTGCAGAGTAAGTCACGAGAAGCCGTCGCTCCTGCCCTAATAGTGAGAACAAGCCAGGTAAGCCGCAAAGTATTGTTTAAAAAAAAAAAAAAAAGAATAGACTTAAATGTAAAACATAAAACTGTAAAAGCATTTAGAAGAAAAAGAGAACAGTTTCATGATCTTGGATTTAGACAAAGAGGTCTTGGCCGTGATCAAACACTGCACATAACAGAAAAATGAGATAAACTGGATTTCATAAAAATTAAAAACTTTTGTTCTGCGATAGATACTGTTAAGAGAATGAAAAGACAAGCCACAGACGAGAAGAAATGACACATCTGACAAAGGACTCGGATGCAGACTATACAAAAAACTCTCAAAACTTAAGTGAAAACAACCCAATGAAGGGACTTCCCTGGTGGCACAGTGGCTAAGAATCTGCCTGCCAATTCAGGGGACACAGGTTCGAGCCCTGGTCCGGGAAGATCCCACATGCCACGGAGCAACTAGGCCCGTGAGCCACAACTACTGAGCCTGCGCTCTAGAGCCCACGTGCCACAACTACTGAGCCTGCGTGCCTAGAGCCTGTGCTCCGCAACAAGAGAAGCCCCCGCTCGCTGCAACTAGAGAAAGCCTGCAGGCAGCAATGAAGACCCAACGCAGCCAAAAATAAATAAATAAAATAAATTAAAAAAAAACAACCCAATCAAAAAAACAAGACAAAAAATTTGAACAGACATTTCACCAAGACAATATACAGACAGCTCAGACGCACGAGAAACCTCGTCCACCATCGTTAGCCCCGAGGGAAACGCAGAGCAGGCTGAGGTCCAGCCTGTGATCAGACGGACCAAGGGCCGCCAGGCTGCAGACGCTGGGGCACATGGGACGCCGTCGGCCTCGCGAGCAGCGGGGGGGCGGGCGCGCACACACTCACCGGGTGCGCTGAACACCTGTGTCGCACCCTGACCTGCTCAAGCTCTTCATCCTCGCTCCTGACGCTGCTGCGTGAGTGGACAAATGTGGTGCATCCCCGGACGGGAGGCCCCGCCACCCGAGGAGGAGCGGCCTCAGAGGCCACGCCCGCGAGGTCCCATCCACGCGGTTCTCCAGAAGAGGCGCAACTGGGCCCAGGCGGCTGCAGGCTGGGGGTGGCACGACTGGCCACAGCAGGGCTTCCCGGGGCGACGAGAGGCCAGGCCCCGGTTGTGAGGGGTGCGTCAGTCTGTGGCTTTCCTCACGGCTCGCCCGACTGGGGGAGACTTTACTGTAGCTCATGAGCCCCACGTGAAACAAATCTGGTGGAGCCCTGGGGACGCTGGTGTGTTTGAGCTTGTGCGGCAGGGAAGCAGGACGGACGTGAGGAAACAGGCAGCCACCACAAGCTGAGGCCCCCCCGCGGCTGGCCGCTTGGCATGCAGGGCTCTCGGGGAGATGGACAAGGAGAGGACGCTTGGACCAGCCCTGGGGTCGGGGCTGCCCGTGGGTCGTGGGTCGAGGTTCACCACAGGGCGCCCCCCTCCTCCCAGGGTCCTCTGGGCAGGCGAGTCTGCAGGAGGCCGGGCAGGCCTTGGGGCTCCGTCCAGCGTCCGCCACGCCGCCCTCTCCCCCGCAGGCCACCACTCGTCCACCTCCTGTCTCTGCGGATTTGCCTGCTCTGGACGCTCCATGGAGACGGACTCACACGATCCGGGGCTGCTGTGGCTTCCTTCACGGATCACGATGCTCTCAAGGCTCATCCACGTTGTCAAGTGAGGCAGAACCTTGCTCCTTTTTGTGGCTGAGTAACATTCCACCGAGTGGCTGCAACTACATGCTGTTTACCAGCATCCGTGGGGGGACACTCGGGTTCTTTCCATTTTTGACTCTTCTGAGTAAAGCTGCTGTACACGTTCCTATACACGTTCTCTGTGGACACAGGTTTTTAATTCTCTGGGCCTGTACCGGGAGTGGGACTCTGGCTCATACAGTTACTCCACGTCTCACCTTTTAGGAAACTGCCAGATTGCTCTCCAAAGCGCCTGCGCCCTGTCACACTCCCACGGGCGCTTTGCGAGGCTCCCAACCTGCCCACACCCTGGACATCGCTGCTTATGGTCTGTCTTCTTGGTCCTGGCTATCCCATCCCGGTGGGCGGGAAGTGGATCCCAGAGTGACTGCAGCTCGTTCTTTAAAAACAACAAAACAGGACTTCCCTGGTGGCGCAGTGGTTAAGAATCCGCCTGCAGGGGACACGGGTTCGAGCCCTGGTCCGGGAAGATCCCACATGCCACAGAGCAACTAATGCGCCACAACTGAGCCTGCGCTCTAGAGCCCACGAGCCACAAGTACTGAAGCCTGCGCGCCTAGAGCCCGTGCTCCACAACAAGAGAAGCCACCACAATGAGAAGCCCGCGCACCGCAACGAAGAGTAGCCCCCGCTCACTGCAACTAGAGAAAGCCCGCGCGCAGCAACGAAGACCCAACGCAGCCAATAAATAAATAAATAAATAAGTAAATAAATAACAACAACAACAACAACAACAACAAAACCGGGACTTCCCTGCCGGTCCAGCGGTCAGGCCTCAGCACTTCCCCTGCAGGGGGCACGGGCTCGATCCCCGGTTGGGGAACTAAGATCCCGCATGCCCGCCCGGCCCCGCCCCGGCAAGGCCAAAAATAAATAAATAAAATAAAAACAGCAAAACCAGGAGGATCGCTCTCCTTAGCTCAAAATATTCTGGAGACTCTGGGGTAGAGGCGGGACCTTCGCTGTGGCGCAGGGTCCCCCGCACGGCCAGCACTGTCCGACCTTGTCCCCGCCTCGTTCCCTGAGGTTCTGCCCACCGACCCCTCCCTCTCCCGGAGCCGGTCTCGCGCCGCAGGGGCTCCCGGGATCCGCCCGCACAGCCACGCGG